ATTCAAAACTGAGGGACAGCGATAATCCCAGACAGAGCGATCGAAGACCGGCAAACATTTGGCGCTACAGGGCAATATCGGTAGCGAAAAAAACCCAAAAGCAAACAGAATGTGAGTAACGGATGAATAAATAGTCAAAGAAGAATGTCGAAGGCAGGAAGAGGAAAGTAAAAGTGTGGCCAGGAACTTTACGAGGTGGTAGATGTTAATCTCAGAATGTCAGGAGGATTCTTCCGAAAGGGTTATCATGTGAAAATGCCGGAAAGATGTGAAAGAATCCAGACAATAAAAAAACGACTATAGTCACTAAAAGAAATGCAGTGAAATAAGTGTCATGTATATGATGGCGGAACAATAATTCCGTGCTTGACACAGTTAAAAGCTGAAATTTTCTTTGTATAACGTTCCATCAATGTGATTAATAATCCCTATTGAATTAAGTGCAATGACAAAAAAGGTGATAATTTCTTAAATTAAATCTTATTTCTATAAAATATCATAATTTCATCATTAGCTTACTGATTTATAGATGCGCTTCACTCTCTCTGATATATCTCAGTAATGGATAGCTACACAGTTTTACTATAACAATTGCATCCCTGAGGATGATCTTAGTAGATGGAAAGTGCTTGGAAAATAAAAGTGATTCTCAGTATTAGAGTGCATTTCTTGCCTTATTTAATTGTAATATACGAAAAAATATCCGTGAATAGGAAAGGATTATGTTTGTAATTTATTCAATCAGACATGCCTAAAAGTGAATTTGCTGTTTAATACACACAAATGTGTGTATGTATAGTATAGAACATAACAGGGAGTGACATGTGATTTAGTTTTTAAGAAAATTTTCTAGGTTCTGAATCAAACACTTTACATTTAGATCGTAATCCATAGTTGAACTAAATTGTTCTAATTCCACGTACCATGCCTCTGGATATCTCAGACATAATGTTTGTAATTTATTCAATCAGACATGCCTGAAAGTGAATTTGCTGCTTAAATACACACACATGTGTGTATGTATAGTATTGAATATAACGGAGTGATATGTGATTTAGTTTTTAAGAAAATTTTCTAGGTTCTGAATCAAACACTTAACATTAGATCGAAATCCATAGTTGAACTAAATTGTTCTAATTCCACGTACCATGCCTCTGGATATCTCAGACATAATGTTTGTAATTTATTCAATCAGACATGCCTGAAAGTGAATTTGCTGCTTAAATACACACACATGTGTGTATGTATAGTATTGAATATAACGGAGTGATATGTGATTTAGTTTTTAAGAAAATTTTCTAGGTTCTGAATCAAACACTTAATATTAGATCGAAATCCATAGTTGAACTAAATTGTTCTAATTCCACGTACCATGCCTCTGGATATCTCAGACATAATGTTTGTAATTTATTCAATCAGACATGCCTGAAAGTGAATTTGCTGCTTAAATACACACACATGTGTGTATGTATAGTATTGAATATAACGGAGTGATATGTGATTTAGTTTTTAAGAAAATTTTCTAGGTTCTGAATCAAACACTTAACATTAGATCGAAATCCATAGTTGAACTAAATTGTTCTAATTCCACGTACCATGCCTCTGGATATCTCCGTTTCAGTTAATTCCTCTTGATAACTCAATACCAATTTATTGTTACCTCTACTGTGGTTAATTTACCCCCGTGGACTAAATAAATGGTTCTATTCAAAATTTCAAGAAATATTACCTGAAGAAAGCCGGAGCGTACAACAGCCGGATCGTCGTGATTATGTTAATAAAGATGGTGACAACATCCCGAACAATGTAAATAGTGTAAATAGTTACAATACCTCATCTCAGAAGTATAGACTAAGTTTAGTTTGTAAACATGGCAGACATAATTATTGTTTAAAAGCTATATACTTATTTCGTCATTTCATTATAATTTAGTAATCACCTCAAATTATATATATAATGATAAAAAAATCTGTACAAGAATGCATATATTACAGTATAATTATAGAAAGACTGGTACGTTTTTTACTCTCATCCACATAACGTTTCACACGTTTATGTACCACGTGATTCGAAACCGTTTTTATACATGGCGACATTGAGAAGCCGAATAACATGTCCCACTAAATACATGGTATTTGTGGCTTGAAAGCTGCCGTAATTATTTGCTTCGTGAATGATATGAAGGCGAAGACCCGACAACCTTAAAGAGACCGAGACGAAATCGTCTTTCATTTGATGTTTCTGTCCATATTTAAACCTGAATGAAAAGCTACAACATAAAAGTATTCAGTCGTTAAGCTGTTACCGAACGCACAGTTTAGAGTCGATTCAAAAGGTTTCGGTGTGGAAATCAAAGAATTGACGAAAGTCGAAGAATGAAGCCAATTTTGAATGACGACTAATAAAAGAAATATAGCGGAGGATGAAACTTGCACACCAATTCTAGCTGAACTTGCGGAAAATCTGGGAAGAAATTTATGTATTGAAACCCAACCGAAGTGCAAATGGAAAGAAGAAAAAAAAATCGTTAACGTCCGCATTAACTGACAGAAGATCAGCAAAATCCGTGAAATTATTTTTAAAATAAACGCTTTTATAGTCAGGTAGCTTTATCTTCAGCGTGTTTAATGGACTCAGAAATTTGGAAATATGGATTTAAACAGCAATGCGGCAAATTCGAAGAAAGAAATGAATGCCAATGTGTGAATGTCAGATGTCACGACCAAAGAATTGGTTTTTGTTTGCTTGTTTTTTTTTGTTTGTTTTATTATTTTACCCTAAACAACCCAACAAAACCAGTAAGATGCAAGGGATTACTGGGTGCGAGAGAATAAGAAAACATTATTAATGAGAGATAGATAGATAGAGAGAGAGAGAGAGAGAGAGAGAGATAGGAGAGAGAGAAACAGGAATGAATTCAGAAGATAAAGTTTGACATTGCATTTAAATTTTTGAAGATCAAAAGTGACTAGAAAGCAAGAAGCTAGAAGGGAGTTCCACAAGCGATAAGTGCGAGAGAAGAAACTGCTAGCATAGAAATTACGGTTATATCTAGCCATTTCACTTGGGAAAAAAGATTAGATCTTGCCGCCAACCTAGTACTACACTTATATTCATAAAGTCTAACGAACTAAAATAGTAAAGCCCATCAAAACAATTACCATGAAAATACTTATAGAAAAGACACAAGGAAGGTTTTTTTTACGTCACACTGAGACAATTAACGTCTTCATTAGCCTAGTTAAAATAATAAATAAATAAAAAATCAATTATCCAGTACTGACAAAGGTAAAATTCTGTATTTTAAAAAAAAGAAGGAAAAAAAAACATTCATTGTGGTTCCACATGTCAACTTAACCTAAAAAAATATACAGAAATATTTCGTCATCCACTTTATATAATTTCGGAGACTAGTGATTCTATGACGTCTGGGTGTAAGCCGCTTTATATACAAGTAGTCAAGTCTCAAGTGCTCTTTTAACATCGGTGAGTTGCTGAAAGTTGACATAGGTATAACAGCGCGAACAGCGAGCAATCGTCTCGAAATACGTTCGGTTCTGACGATGTCAATTTTCAGCAACTCGCCGACGGTGAAAGAGCACTGGATACTATGAATTATGAAGACGACTTGCATCATGACAAACACTACTAAAAGAAATGCCCCAACTTCGCTTATATGACACGAGAGAGATATATCTTCGTGTCGATATTTTTAGAGGAAAATGTTAAGTTTATATATGCCTTCATTAATAATTAGATAGATTATAGAATATATTAGAGTATAGAGCACATTTTTATGATCAATTTTTTTAATGCAAATAATACGTAGTCACACGATACATGGGTAATTCTTTTTATCAAGGTAAAACGCATGCATTTTCGGTAAACGGTTGCATCATATACAGGTATTTTTGTGATAGAGGAATAACGCGTCGCTGCCGACACTTAAGTTTGAACATAGATCGCCAGAGAGTAAACAATTCTGTGTTTACTTTTCGAGCCAGTATTATCAAGTAAGTACTATTAGTGCGACTGTTATTCGAAGGCGTCTGACACCAGTATTGTTTAACGGCGTACTCTAGTTTTGCGATTACAAAGTCTCTACTACAACGTGCATTACGAAAGTGACACAATTTTGTTTTGTTTTTTTTCTTTCTGGAGGGGGTTAAAATTCATGCAAAAATATCCAGAAAACGCACAATACATAAAGTCAGCTTACACTAAGTATATACGTTAATATATATTTGGCTGATATAACTAAAACTGGTGATATGAATTCTGATTAAAACAAAATATAAATTTTAAATATTCGGAAATACAATGGATTGGTGGGATCCAGTGACTTGACGCAAAAAGTTGTGAATTCAATACCTGGCTACTGCAATAGTGGACACAAACTTGAGTTGAGTTAACTGATACATCCAGAAGAGGCATAGCACGTGGAACTAGAACAATCTACTCCGGTGGACGAAATAAATGTTTCAATGCAAACTTCCAATCATCTGAAGAAAGCTGCAGCGTACAACGGGCGAAACGTCGTGAATATAATGAAGAGGACAACAGTCCGAACAATGTAAATAATGACAATACCTCAATCTCGGAAATATAGACAGATATTCAAAATGTAATTTCCCCAATAAAAAATATAATTTTTGTAATAATTTTTTTTTAATATTATTTTAAATAAATAATATTCAAATTTATTCAGCACTCATTTGTACGAAAATATTCTAAGACGAAGATATAATCACCAGTAGTCCCCCTTGTAGCTTCTCTGACAACAAAATCAGTCCTTTCTGACCTCTGAACACTGAAAGAACTTATCGCGTAAAGCCTGGAGAGTATTTCCCTTGATCTGCTAAAAATAAATGAAAATTTGATTATGGAAATTTATCAGAGCAAGTTTTCTCTTCGTAAATTTGTATATTTATATGTTGATATATACTGTGAAGATCTTTGCTTCAGACGGGACGTGTAAGTTTGTGTCAGATTTGTTCCTAATGTCGGATGGCCACACGGGACCTGTCAACAAGAAAACGTCAGTCCGATCTTCCATCACCATCACACTCCCGCGTCTCGCCAACGCAGCTTTTGTCTTTTTCTTGTCGCGCCAAATGTCGTTTCTTCAGACAGTTGCCTCTGCTGACGTCGTTATCACGAGTGCCTATGCGTCTGACAAGAATATTTGTATTTCTGTCTTTGTGAATGTATTTTCGCATTCATCTTTATTTATTTTGAAATAAGCTTTTTTTTTCCGCGTCTTTCGATCTACCTATCAATTCAGAAGTAGAATAAAATAGTTTTTGATTTTCGTTTTTAAAATTATTCTCAAATGTAAGATCATAATTTATCACTCATTTTCTTTTTTTTTTTAAGCATTACGCCCCGATCAAGGCGTGAAGCCACTAGGATGCAGGGGGGGGGTACAGAAGATTTGAAGCGAGAACAGATAGGAGTGATAGGATGAGGAGAGGGATAGTGGATAGATCAAGGTGTTATTTTTATTTTATGTTCCTTGTCCCTTTAGGACGTGGATTATCATGGTTCTCCACAACTTTCTATCCTTTACTGTTCTAAGAAATCTTTGCGAATTGTATCACTACCAGTCACTTTTTATCATCCAAGTGACCATTCCATGTTTCTCTATGCTTATCTTTACTTCATATTTTTAACCATTTGACCGAAGCAAGGTAATAAAGCCACTAAGACACAAGAGGTTTGCTGAGTGAGAAAGAATGTGTGAAAAACATTAATAAAAAGCGAGGACAATAAAAGAACAGTAATTAAGAACACACATATGTGTGTGTGTGTGTGTGTGTGTGTGTGTGTGTGTGTGTGTGTGTGTGTGTGTGATACCCTCTGTTCGGGTAGATGTTCTGCTAAAAGGTCGACAAAGACACCCTCTCTTTTATCACGGCTTACATAGTTGGAAAAAAGTGACAGAATGTTCGAAACGTTAACAGAAGCAATACACTTTTTTTTATCAGTTCACCTCAAGAAAGGAAATAAAGCCACTCCGAGACAAGAGGTTAGTGAGTATTATAGAATACGAGAAAAATATACTATCAAGGAGAAAGAACCATAAAAGGACAGGAATTAAGAAGATACCGACTGACATTGTATTTAAATTTTTGAAGATCAAAATTTATATATATATATATATATATATATATGCGTGTGTGAGAGAGAGAGAGAGAGAGAGAGAGAGAGAGAGAGAGAGAGAGAGATTCTCAAAATCTACACTTCGTTCAAAAAAAAAAATTAAAAAGGAAAATCGTGATGCTTGGTAACTTGATCAGATAATCGAAAGTATGTAGTTTTAAAGCAATTAATTTTTTTTATCAGATATTATTTATTATTACTATAAAGGCTATATTTAACGGACACACGTTTTGATTAAGCATCCTTTTTAAAACAGTAGAATCAATATCTACATGCCTAGACAGAAATCCTTCTTAAAGGGATGCACTTATTGTTTTTATTAAAGTTTAAAAAGACAGATGCCTACTTAAACCCGTGTACACACGAAATATAACGCTTACTGTAATACGTATATAGGAACATCAGTAATTGTGTAGGTTAATGCAGAAAAAACATTTGACAATATATATATACATATATATATATATATATATATATATATATTATCAAGGATATTATTTTATATTATATTATATATATATATATATATATATATATATATATATATATATAATCGTGGTGAATATTAATCATATACATCGAACATTATACAATGACAGTTTCAGATCAATATTTATCTCGGTTACAGATGTATTTGTGAACTGTTTATGCATTATTCAAAAAAGAGACATAAAAGACAGAATGAAATATTTTCAATTTGTTTCCCTTAGATTTTCATACATTGCTATGAATCGTTTCTATAATCCCCCCCTTTGATTTTAGAGCAAACCTAACCCGATTGTAAACAGTATGCGTCCCGAGAGACATATACATATGATTCAATACTAAAATAGTATTAAATACGTGATATCTCTAACCTTCTTTATCAAAATTTAGTCAAGCCAACCGGAATACATATCAAAAATAATTTAATTTGATTATTTCAAAATATATTCTCTGTTGTGAGCTTAAAAAAAAAAAAAAATTAAAAACAGTTAATCAATGTATTAAATCAGCTAAAAATAGAGTCCTGGCATAGTTCTTTTGTTTGCGATGGCATCTAATACTGATTTTCTTTTTCACTTGCATTTAAAATCTGAAAACATTACCACCTGATCGTTTATCACGAACACATGCGAAAACCAGCGAAGATATCCGAAAAGCCCAAACGGATATAGGCGGATATTTCTAGCGATCTATATTAAGGCGGAAATCCACAGACAAAGGCACCATACAACGCAATCGCATACTTCCGAAAATGGATGGCTAAATCCGACGTATTAATTCGGAAATAGCCGAACGCATCCGATACGCTGGGATGTAAAGGACTTCCGCTTAGCATACTGCACACAACTCATATACATACGCTCATACACATAGGTACATCAACAAAATTGTATGTACGACGATAGTTTGCGGCCATTTTTGGAGGTAGCCATTTTTGTTAAAAACATTTTTCTTTCTTTTGCTAATCTGTTTTCTTTCATTCTTATATCAACCTCTTTTCCAATTTAACCGTTTCATCATCCGGCATTTGTAATTTCTCTGCCTTCGTTCGCGGCCTGATTTTAATATGGTACAAATTCAAATGAAACAAGAATGCAGACAGGAAACTTACGTTGCGCCAGCATCCTAAATGATGAAGACTTGCTGTGAAAATAACCATCCATAAGTGTTATTTTGTTTTTTGTTTTTTTGTAGCGAAATTTTGATGTTTTCGGCACCGCTTCAGTGTGTGTCCTACCGATCAGTATATCTTACCACCATATCTGTATCTAACGTAAGGGGAAAACAAAGAGGGATGCTATTTATTGTTGTTTTATAAAATTTTAAAAATGAAAAAAAATTACAAAATAAGAAATTTGACTAAAATTCCTAAAACAAGATATTTAAATCCTTTAAATAAAAACATTCTGAACATATTTTAACTTATCGAGAAAAAATGTCGGGACAATGCCTTAATGTAGGATACAGATGTGGCGGGAGGATACACATTAAAACAGAAACTGATCGGTAGGCTGAAGCGGCGCCATGTTTTTCTTTAAAATCAGATATTTCTTATTTCTCTAAACGTTATTTTTGATTTAACATCCCTGTTTTTTTTTTCTTAAACAGTGAAATTAATATCAACCGGGCTCACTGGAGAAGTCCTGATAGAGAAAAAAAATGTCCGTCAGCTTGTTCCAAAGCGTAACCATCTGCTAACGTTCATTTCTGATTTGTCAACCCACAAAGCCAAATTGTAGTTTTACAGCACACATGCTGAGCGGACCTTTGTTAAAATTCAAATATGTGCTCCTAAATGACTACATATGCAATTGTCTTTTTCCTATACTGGCATCCAACTGCAACTAGATTCTAGTCTTCAATGTTATTCACTGAAAAGAGACGTGTTTGTACGTTTCCCAAGAGTACTTGTGGGAAAGTGCATGCAACGATTTCAAACTTGGATCCCCGATTTCTTGTTCCAAACCTCTAACCCTTATACTATTTGCACATCTATTAAGTTCTGTAAATGTTAGATTTTCCAGCTTCTCTTCCCTCCTTATGTGTCCAAGATATTTAAGCTGTCTCTCTGTATAGTAGCTATGTAGGTAGACCCAGCGCATAGGCGTGAGATTTTACATGATTGCCGGGTTTATTATTTTGAACCATACAAATTCTCCATGGGTATGATCTTGTGCTAAATTAAATATGTAACTTCTATTTTAGGTTGACTGCATTTGTGGTGAAATAGATGCATAATCATCACCAGCGGCACACACATGCATTTCAAGTGCTGTTTTTTTTTTTTTTTTTTTTTTTAAGTCGGTAAGAGCCTCTCAACTTGGGAGAAACTGGCTAAAAAGTCTTACGAACTCCCATTTTGTGGCCGATTGTGTTGCTTGACGAAAATCATCTTAGGAAATATAACAAAATGAAGTTATACTGGCAGCAATGCAGCTGATGTGCGTGTGTGCGCGCGCTCTAATTACTTTTTGCATTTATTCCCGCCATTTTGAGATGTTCTTTCTGTTTGTTTTATTATCCTCTTTTTTTTTCCTTTGATTTTCGTTTTTCAAAAGAATTTCATTTATTCTTCGTATTTTTAATGTTCTTTTCCACGGATTGCTTTCTTGCTTTTTCTAATTTTTCTTGTTTTCTTTTTCTAAGTTATATTTCTCTTTTTTTTTTCCTTTTTTTTAATTTTTAGTGTTCCCTTCCACAGTTTCTTTTTTTTTTTTTTAATCTCCCGTTTTCTTCTTTACTTTATCCTTTTCTTATTTTACTTATTTCCTTTTTAAACGCACTCGTCCACGGTTTCTTTTTTTTTCTAACTCCCCTTTTCTTTTGTTCTTCCCTTTTCTTCTTTTTCACATTTTTTTAACGCTTTCTGCCAGTTTTTTTTCTTTACTTCCCTTTTTCTTTGTTCTTTCCTTTTCGATTTTTTTAACGCTATCTTTCATAGTTTCTTTTTTTTATCTTCCCTTTTGTACTTCTTTCTTCACTTTTCTTTTTTCGTCTTTTTTTTTTTTTTCTCCTTTTTCTGATGCATCCTTCCATAGTTTCTTCTGTTGTCTTTTTATTCATGCTTCTTCTTTTTCGCCTACTTTAACGTTCACTTCCATTATTTCTTTTACCTTCCTCCTCTTTCTATTTCCAACGTTCTCTTCCATTATTTCTTTTACCTTCCTCCTCTTTCTATTTCCAACGTTCACTTCCAGTTTCATTTTTAAATGCCCTTTTCTTTATTTTCATTCTCTTTCATAATTTCTTTGTTATATATTTGGGCCATTTTAACACTTTTTCTTAACATTGTTAGTATTATTTCGATTTATTTCGTTTTTATGTTTACTATATTCAGATATATTTCTTGATTTTATTGTGTCCCTCTTTCTGTTACCCATCAACCCCTTCCCATATTTTTTCTTCAGCCTCTTCTTTCCTTCTCACTTCTGAAACCTTTTTTTTATCTCTCTATACTCCTCCAAATCGACCTTTTCTTCACTCTTTCCTTCTCTTCCCTCCTGCATTCATCTCCACTCAGTATTTTTCCTTTTCCTTTATCTTTCTTTCTCTATATTTATATTGCCTCCAACGTTTCCTTTGTAGTTATTTTTCTAGTTTATTTATCATAATTTTACACATCTTGCGGTGTTTCTTAAAACTTTTCCTTTATGATTCTTTTGTTATTGCATCTTTCTCCCCTTTCTATCTTCCCAATACCACCAGCATTTTCCCTCTGTGTCTTTTTCTTGGGAGCCATCAAAAAGCTCCTTTAGGGAGCAATCCGATGAGAATCTACGAGATCTTGGTAAACGGACGATAACTCTTTGTTAGCACGATCTTGGCTCTGAACAAACTTCCCTCTCCATAACTTTTACCGTCCTGTAGTCATAAACATGCACATTCTTGCAAACATACTACCAGAATGAAATGCAAAGAGACGCCGTGCGCAACTATAATAAAATTCCTATGTGTGGACATATTTGAAAACAGAAGTCAAATTTGCGTGCATAGAAATACAGAAACATCAAATATTCTTACGTATATAAAATGATTTAGATACGAATACAAATCGAACATTCTAATACATGTCGTTCTTAATCGTTTATATTCACATTATCGCAAATCCATCCATATAAAAAATTTCTAAATATCAACTTATATAGATTTACACAAAGAGAAAAAACAAAAAATGATTTCGACGTGGTTATGATAAACATTTATAACGTTAAATAAATTTATATAAAAAATCGGTTTTCTATTAACGTCCATAAGTTTTAATAAACACATAGACTCTCGCTCATTCTCATAAATATATTCTTTTAAGTGATGCTTCCCTTCAAAACTTAGCCAATCGTGGCTGTCTATCCAGTATAGCTCTAGCAATGTATCTTTTTATTACCCTTCCAAAAATTGATAGCACATGTATCTCGAAGTAAGAATAATCACAAATAATCAAGATGTTGATATTCAACACTACTTCAAATAAAAGTTTAGGAAGATAACCTCCATTATCAAAAAGAGCCATAATTGTTGCTGGACATGGAAATCTGTTTTATCGAAAAAATGTTTTAAGAGAATGATTTTATAAATTTCGAATGACAGCGGTACTGGCTGCTCGGACTACGATTACCAAATATTTCCTTGCAGGGAAATGGTAAATTTACGAAAACTCGTTACATAGTTTACACGTTATTTCCATCTGTCCCTCTTGCTTGTAATATGTCCTGTGAATGGGAAATTTTCTAACTCTTTACATTGAAGCGTTAAACTGTTGCCATGCACCGTTGATTGGTATGTCTACATCAAAAGACGATTTTTCTTTGATATTGTTCACTCTTTCCCTATATAACTATTCCGTACTAACCGATCCAGATTTGAGTTCTCTATTGCCAGAGAAATGAGTGATTTGACCGTGAAATTTTGAATTCGATCGAAAGTTAAATGGATTGAACTAAATTTCTTGACTTATCTCATCTCTCCCTCTCTCTCTCTCTCTCTCTATATATATATATATATATATATATATTTATATATATATATATATATATATATATATATATATATATATATATATATATATATATATATATATATATATATGCGTGTATATGTGTGTGTGTTTCGTTAAAGACAGTTGACAAAGCACTGCGATTAATCATTTTATTTAACTTTTCTTGTGTTCGTACAAGAAGATTTCTTTTCTGGAGACAAAGTGTTTAAAACTGTCACAAGCTCTGCATATGCGAGCGCTTTTGGCTATGCTTGTAGCCATTATCAAGGACGATATTTATTTTTATTTTTAAATGAAAATGTTTTTATGTTTGTATCTGAAGTCATAGGAATGTCTTATTTTCCAAACATGGTCAGCATGCTGTGGCCGTGTTTATAGTTAATGTTATTGAGTGTCGGCTTTTTCTTTTTTATTCTTAGTGCTTCCATTATTTGTAACCATTGTTTGCATGAGAATGAAACTATTAAGCTCGTACTTTTTACTAGTATGTTGCTGATGGAGTTTGATAGGTGTCCGTGTGTATTTAAATGAGTCTTAATTCAGCTCTGGTCAGATAGGTGTAACGTAAATCGTTTGGGGAGGCATGTAGTGATATGACGAAACTCATAAATCAAACCACACACACACACACACACACACACACACACACACACACACACACACACACATATATATATATATATATATATATATATATATATATATATATTGATATCCCATGTTACTCGAAGAGAAGATACTGACACTCATCATGTTGACTTTCCACACGACTTTAGACAAAAGATTAGGAAGGAAAACATCGCTAGAGTTACAAAGTGGATTTGATAAAAATATTTCATAAATCTCAAGCAGCATTTGCAGCTCGGCCACTGATTATCGAGTGTTACTATGTAAGAAACTGTTAATCTCATAATACTATTATCACACTTGTGGCCTTGTGTCAAACTTAGGTATGCTTAGTAAATATCAGTAGAAAGACATCTGTTTTGAAAGGTATTTTAAGTCTTGACAAAAAAAACCCAGCAAAATTATGAACTTTATATAAAATTAGATGGAGAACATATTGAAGATCATCCTGAAGATGAAAATTTCAATTTTATTCAATATTTTTTTTTTCACTTTTTCTTTTTAGTGAAGATGTTTTCAGGCGAATCGCTTTCTTCCTGGGTTCGGGCAGTGTTCCGCCCGTTAGTTTTTCAGTATTTTCTATTAAATATCAAAATGAAAATTTCATTAAAATATTTTGAATAAATTGATTATATGTTGCCCATGAAGAATGGGCACCATTAAAAATTCAAAACTCCTAAGGGATCATTAGATAGCAGAAATACTGAGGACACACAGAACGAAGCACAAAATGGCTGGCGATTGGCTGAGCCAAAATTATGCATCAAACGAAAACGGCTAATAAATAAATAAATAAATAAACATGCCACACACATAAAAAGCAATGATTCTCCATACACATTTGTGCGCGAAATAGTTTTCACAGGCTGTCTATATATTATGATTTTAGGTAGGAATATCAAACCTTATGTAAAAAAAAACAAAAAAAAAACTAAAAAAAAAACGATGTTTTGGGGGTTGGCATAAAGTAAATGGGAATTGTGGTGTAATGGATAAGGACTCGGTATGAGAGAGCAGAGTTCGAATTCTATTCGGCGATTCGTTAGATTCATATATGCAGAAATGACCATGAAAAGGTATGAATCAATCTTTTCTCTCGGTTGAATAGCAGGACAAACTCGTTTTATAGCCTTGGTAGTTTTGTTTACCGCAGACAGAAACGGCAATCTACTACAGGAATATCTCCAGTCTAGTCAGTTATGAATCGAACGAGACATGATCGCCCAAACATGTATCACATATGGGACTTAACTGACTGACTGATGCTGGTAAAACAATGCATACAAAAAAACAAACTAACAGCACCTAACATCAATTCGCATTCTCTATTAGCGAAATTGGGGGCACCAGTCTGGTGTTATGGACTAATGTCAAAGTCGAGCCGGGTTTAATTTTCAGATTAGTCTGCACTATTCACTTTCGCATGATAAAGGCATAGATCTGTATTTTCTACACCCAGTTATATGTTAAATAGCAAAGCAAACTTGACTTTATAGTTAGTCAGTCTAGGAGAAACAAACTCTGAATCCCAAACCATAGAGAAGGTAAAAAGAAACCATTTCATTATCTTTCCCAAGAATACATGCCAATTCATAGGCAATAAAGAAAAAGGAAGCTGTGGAGAGCCGTGGTTACCTTGGTCCTGAAAAAACGCTTGCATTTTTTTTTTCCTTTTTTTATCAAAGAAGTAACTATTTGTTTGATTTGTTTAACGGCGTATCAACTTACGGATCATTTAATGCCAAAATTTGAAATTTTGAAGTAATGGTACTCAGCTTTTGTGCATATACATATTTGTGTGGACATGATTACTACAGGTGATGTGTGTTTTATATTGTAGTTTTTGTTGAAGTTTTATTTTCGAATATTTTGATTTAAGAAATTGTAGGATATTATATGGATTAATGTTATGAAAGAGTTCTTTTGTGTTGGCTGGATGATTGATTTTGTTTAGTGGCATATCGAACTCTGCATTATTTAATGCCAAAATCGAAATATTTTTAACAAAAATTTATGGCTTCAACTACAGATTGGTCATTTTGCTATAAACATATATTGTTGGTAATTTATATAAAAATGGCATCTTTAACAAAAAAATATATTTTTATACCTTCATAGTCTTTGGCTTTTGTTTTGGCGTTCACTATTTGCTCATAGTCGCTACTCTAATAGGTGTAACCAGCCCGGATGAGGGTGGAGCTGAAAACAGCGGCCATTAAGAGGTGGCTCCGCGATCCTCAAAGCTTCCAATCACCCTTGTTGCCGGATGTAGATTATCGTCATAACCAGAATTGACGCGTAATGAATTAAACCGTATTATTGTTTTTGTTTCTTCCAAATATTTTCCCGTGCTGCTTACTTATGTCAACGCATTTAAGTTACCGTATTTGACAGCATATAAGGTGCACGTTTTTTACTAAAAATATCTTTTAAAATTCCCCTGCGGCTTTCATGTAAATTTAAAATTCACGATAGTCGGCCAAAATTAGATGACGCATTATTTAACGACGATGATAGTAGTATTGAAAATGATTATCAGATTGTTGATAACAAAGACGACGAATTTTATGGATTTGAAGATGAATAAAATTTTAAATGGTAGCTGTACTGTTTTGCTCAATTGTTATAATTACTTGATTTTTATTTTGTTTCCTTACCAATAATGTTTTTATAGACTCGTGTTCTTTTTCTCGTATTATTTTTCGTTTAATTATAAACATGGCTTCTTTAACTAAAATAATATCTTATAAATATAGCATAGGCTGTAGAATTTACTAATAATTTTTCTAATTACTAATTTTTCTTGATTTGCCCTACTGAAATTGGGGTGCCTCTTCAAATACGGCACTCTAATTGATCCTACTTAAATTGGCTTGAACCTTCGTGAAAAAAAAATAGGGATAATTTGAGAAGAATAGTTGAATAATAAAAATCTTCATCTGGTTCGTTCGTACTAAAAGTAAGAAAAATTTTATGGAGAATGATTTTTGTAGATTAGACCTACCTTAATCTACGACATTTGTCAGAATATTAAAATATTTAAAAAAAAAAAATCAAGGCTGACTGTAGTCACGATCCTAGAGTCATTGTAAACGCAACGATAATATTAATTAGCTTCATATAGCATGTGCTTCGATAGGGTTGCATGCGGTTTTGGATTCAGAGGTGTCCTTCTCTTAGACTGGCTGCCACCAAAGGCTATAGAGGCTGGTCTGCCTTACTATTTAACGCATACCTGGGGGAACTTCATAGCTTCAAGTGCATCTTTGCGAAAGGGAATCTAACAAAACTGGAATGCGGATATACATATACAATTATTTAAAAAAAAAATAACGTCTTATTTATATTTTTTCCTCCACACTTCTATCTTCTGATTAGGAACATATTTTATAATTATATTTCTGTCATGCTTAAAGTCTTTATCTCGAAGTCTCTTTTGCTTATAATCTTTTTAGTGTCTTATTTTCCAATGCTTTCTCTTAAGTGAAGCTCCTTTGAATCAGCTCAACTCGATGGCAAAGTCGTTTTAGATAAAACAACAATCTTAAAAATAAATAAAATAAATGTAAAAATAACCAAAAGCGAAAGAAATAATAATAATAATAATAATAATAATAATAATAATAATAATAAATTCTCAGCCACATCAGCCTCCTTTCGTTGAAAGTGCTTTCTTTCGATTGGCAGGTTGTTTCGGCCATCTTGAAAAAAAAAATGTCGATCAGCGTGCCGCGTCTCGTGTCAACACGGTATAAATCAGATGAGATGGCCGACATTTGTCATCTTTGATCTGAGCGTTGCATTCTGGCCGCCCGAGATAAATGGCCTCCTCGCGACTGCCAACAAATCAGCGCCTCTATTTTGCGATTGACGAGTTGCGAATTGCATTTTTCTTGTCAACGTATTCGGACCCGCACATCATTGCGTGTGAGCTCTGCTCCAGCTAACCGTAGGAACGGAAACAGTCTTCATAAGACTATGTGTGTTTATGTACAGTCGTTCGTTTTCCTCCTTTCTGTCGTTTTCTCAGCTCTCCCTGTACGCAACCAATCAATATATGTTTTGGAATGGTTCAAACTATGAGTTTGACGTCTTTTTTGTTTTCCTTTTTACTAGACGCGTACCCTGTCGTTTATGTGTTAAAACATTGATCTTTCTTCTTTAAATATGGATGAATTTCAATTTAAAATATATGTAAAAGTTAATGGCATGCATTCATACATTAATTTACATTCACATCTCTCATTTTCAGTATAATATAAATATTTTGTACGGTGAAAGCGCAAAGTACAATTAAAAGTTCCGTCTTCTTAACTCTTATTCTTTTTATTGTCCTCTCTCCTTAGTTGTTTTTTCTTATATTCTCTAACACGCAGTAACCACTTGCTCTCTAGTGACATTTTAGCTTGCTTTGAGTGAAATGATAAAAAAAAAAACAAAACAGCATCATTAAAGCTGTTAAATATAATGTAGCTAAATAAAACTCAAATTAATTTTTATGGTTGGGTAAGGAATATTAAATGATATTCTAGCAGACTATTATTTTTTAGAGAATTGTATTCTCCTCTGACTTCCTCATTTTGATCTTTGAGGTCAGATACAGGAAAACGGAGTAAGTCGTTTTTGATTGGTTAAAACTAGCGTGGGAATATTAGAGAGATAGAAAGGGATTTCAGGGAGTTAAGTTTTACACGTCATACAGTGTAGACGTAGTTATTTCGTGTCTCGGCGAACTTGATCCCAAGTGGGGGTGATAGAGCGTTGACGGGTTTAATAAAATAGATTAATGTTTAAACTTCCCTTTGGTTGATGTTTTGTCTCCGAACAAAACAAGTGGCGATCAGCGATTAGGAAAGAAGGAGGCAACGTTATGGGTGAATCAAGACATTCCCCCAAGACGAACCCACTCCAAAGGGCTATGCAACATTTTGCTTATTTGGCGCAGTGGCTAAAACCAACCTAGAAGAGTGGGGATATGCAACATAAGCAGTTTGAATTTCGTTTATAATTCCTTGTTACAAATACTCTTGAGATACATGAATATCTTAAAAGGTTGTGTTAATGGCCTGCCACAATAGCTGAAGAAAAGCGTACACTTATCTGTCTATATTTCTGAAATGAAGTCTTATGTACACTATTTACGTTGCTCGGACTATCATCCTCATCTTTGTTGCCGTATTTATCACAACGTTTCGGCCGTTGTGCGCTCCAGCCTTCTTCAGGTGTTTGGAATGTCGAACTGAACCCTTTATTTCGCTTGCTGGGGTAGACTGTTCTAGTTCCACGTAGACATGTCTAATGAATGTCAGTTATCAGTTATCTCTTGTTAATTCCCCTCTCCAATTTCTCCACCACCTTATCCAGGTATTGAACTCACACACTTTGGGTCCTGTCACTGGATCTAACCAACGCCTTTATCCACTGTGTCCTGTGTCCTTGAGTAAATAAAGGGTTCAGTTCGACATTCCAACCACCTGAAGAAGGCCGAAACGTACAACAGCCGAAACGTTGTGATAAATATGGCAACAAAGACGAGGATGATAGTCCGAGCAATGTAAATAGCGTACACTTAGTTGGCTAATACAAAGAAGTCATAATGAGATGAGAATTGTTCTCAATATTGAATAAATGATAATCGTAAGATCAGCTGTTTCTCTATTTGGAAACATTTGACATTCATTGACCGAGAAGTCCGCTCTGTCCAGTATAGATGGGGGCCTCCTTCCTAACCTTTTGCTTGAAGTAGTCTAGGGCATTAAAATCTTGATTATATATGACATTGGCATTTCATCTTCGACATGGACATTAGTGAATCAAACTGAGATAGGCTTAACACATTAATACAAAAATTCTATATTAATTATAGCAGCGAGGTGGTCTCATCTATTCACAGTTGAATTGTCCATCCATAACGGAAAGTTCTATATTAACAGTTTATTTTCTTGCATTCCTCACTTGTGGAACTCTTTTCCGGTTCAATGTTTTCCAGCCAACTCTATCCTAAAAATTTTAAATTTAATGTCTTCTTGATTACTCTTCTATTGTTTTCGCTCCTTATTTTTTTATTATTATTTCACACTCAGTGGGTTGAAATAATTAAAACAAATTATAGCTTTGTAAAAATTCCGGTATTAATTTGAAGTATCAACTAATAAACCATTAAGGCCTCTTTTATGGGGACAGTCGTGTTTGTATGTACTTACAGTCATAAAATCCCCAAGTATGGCCAAGATGCTGACCAGAAAAATGAAATTGATAATTTGTTCTCAGTTATAATACATAACCTTAAATTTGAATATTAATAATCTGGAAAAGTGCGTATTATACACGAAGAATTCTCAGAATATATTTCTGTTACGTCATTCATGTACTTAGTAAAAATTAACCTTTCAGAAAAAATTATACTCACTAAATTATAATTTTAATATTTACTATGATTAGTTTGGTTATCGGTCTAGCTCTTCCGAGTGTTTTGAGATACATGGAAAAAAACCTTTAGCAGTTTTGTAATCATAAAAGTGTCTAATCACAAGCTAAGTGATATTACAATACTTTCCGACTTAAATTCATCTAAGAAATAAATGCGTCAGTATGTTAAAAATTTGTTATTTTAATATCTAAGTTCAACTCATTTTGATAAAAACTCTAATAGTGGAATACGCGGCGTGACTTCAGTTTACAACAGCTTTAGTGAATGAGTGTTAATTTTGAAGTTATATATCAATTAGAATTTCATTTTTCCATATCAGTTGTAAAAGGCAAAGATTTTACATAGTTACATGCAATGTGTGTTATTAATTTCTGTCATAACTTTTCAATGAAGATAATGGTTCTAAAGAATTTTTTACTTATATTTAAAATGGGGAAATATGTGTACTGAGATGAACCTATATAAATGGGAAGGATATCTTGATCGAATGAGGTTTTTTAAAATAAAAATTATATTTTTTAAATCTATCTTAGCGATAGAATTCTAATTTGATACCGCAATCAAATAAATAGCTAACGTTCTACACACGAATTATACATTTTTTCATGCATCTAGTAATCATAAGGTGAGAATTATTGCGTCGAGTGAACGTCAGGTGGAGTAATTACCATCTGACAATTCCGAGCCGTATCAGTTGTGGAATTGGTATATAATGTATAAAGTTGTGTAAACTACGTCGTTTGGCATTGAGCTGTTAGTCTTTTACCATTATAAGCGTTTATACACGTATTAATTACTTTATATTACACAAGAACACGCACTTTATTTATAGAGAGAGATGTTTCCTTCAATAATGTAGACAAGTTTTTTTCTACTTTTTTTTTAATTGGATCCTTTCATATTCATTTTGGTGTCATTATTAAAGGAAGTGAGAAGATTACTGTGTTGATACATATTATTTTATTGCTAGTAATTTAGCATAAATTTAAATGTCTTCAGGCATTTTGCATCTCCAAAGGGAGGAAAAAATATTTATTTTGGCCACTTAGCGACCACGTTGTCTCGGCGACTGGATTTTCATTTGAATGATGCTTCCAACATTTTTAAACATTTACAACAGCATACCTGTCCACATTCGCAATTTAGAAAAAATCTTGTTGAAAATCTACCTATAATTTTTATGAAAATAATAAACTAAAAATTCTTGAAACTATCTATATGAAATAATTGAAACAAAACCTTAATAAAATTAATTATGACTACTGCACAAAGGTTTTTAAATGTTTACAGTAGATAGTTTAAAATACCGAGGTTTGTACTGATAGTTTTAATACTTATTTCTTGAAGAAAAACTCTCGACAACACTATAACTTAATTACCTCCCCCACGAAGCATTATTCAGGCCAATCATACTTTACTCAATTCAGCGTTCTTCACAAGTAAAAAAAAAAAAACTCAGATGAACACAGCAATTTTGTTTTTGAAAATGAAGACTACAATATTTGTCGTGAAATAAACAACATCCTGATGATGACAACGTGCTAATGTCGAAAGTACTCTCTTCCTTTAATAATAACACCAAAAAGCTTGTCCGTAAATATGAAAGGATCCAATTGAAAGTAAGTATGCAAAACTACTCTAAATTGTTCAATGAAACATGTCTCATTGAAAGAATACTGACAAAATACACACACACGCACATATATATATATATATTGCACAGTGTGGACCAGCGGGAGTCAAGTCGCTGCATACGACATAGATATAAAAACTGAATGTAGAAATACGTAGAAATCGACGGGAGAATCATTTCCAACTGAAAGCGCATTTGCTATATATTATGTAAAATAAGGGCTTTTTCCATCATTCGGTTACAAACTATCCACACATCTGCGTATATTAAGACACCAGACCATAGTCAACATATCAAGGAATGTAAAACTCGTGCATTATTGTTGTACCAACATGGTGTGCATGGTATCATAAACTTGAACGTCACCGGCTCCTAAGTGCAAGTTGTGAAATGATATGAAAAATCGAAGAGCCGACTCCGAATATCAGTCGCGTAGGTGTATTAACTGCAAATACCCGTGAGAAATATTATAAATCCATAGCCTACTCCCCAATATGGATTAAATATTTGGATTTGTATCTGGATAGAAATTATAGCTATCTCCAGAAAAACTTCTAAAGTAACATTCACGCAAAAAGATCTAATCATATAATCCAAAATGTTTCGTCTACAAATAACCCACACAAGGTTGATAGAACATAAAATACAAATCAATCAATCCATCAAAAACGTTATAAATACTACTTTGAAAGAGATAATTTGAAGGAGATTTTTGTTGTTGCAATATTTAAACATTTTGGTAGCAGCTCGTAAATATTAAACATTTAAAAAAAAATCATATATCATTTCCTGTATATTTTAGAGTTCCTTTGAGCTACTACTAAAAATGGTTTGGGAATTAACAGAATTCATGAAATACTCGGGTATTGAATTGCAAACTTTGTATCATTTTTAACTCGATATGTGCATTTTTAAGCATAGAGTTAAAGAAATATTCAAGTTTACAGAAACTGATCAGAACTAACTTATCGAACGTGAGACAGAATACAAATTGAGATAGTAGGAAGATTTTCAAATTAC